AGGGGTTTGTCTGGGGTGGTATTAAAGGGCTTTTTTCATGGGGTTAGTATAGGGTGTCTATACGGTTTCTGGGTTTTATGGGGTTTTTAGGGTTTATACATTTCTTAATGGGGTTTTTGTGGGTTCTATTTACTGTATGGCGGTTAGGGGGTTTATGGGGTTCATGGGGTTTATGGGGTTTGTGAGGTGAATGGGGTTGATAGGGGTTTGATGGGGTTTATGCGCTTTATGGGGTTTATGGTGTTGAGGGTAAACCCTAAACCCTTAACCCTAAACCCTGAACCCCTGAACCCCTGGACCCCTGAACCCCTGAACCCCTGAACCCCTGAACCCTTGAACCCCTGAATCCTAAACCCCTGAACCCCCCCCCCCCCCCCCCCCCACAGCAAAAAAGTCGCCTCCCACTGAGGCAATGCCAGGCGCACGAGCCGCTGAGCTTGAGAGTTCCGGGCGTGTACGGGTTTAGTGTTTAGTTTTCTTTCTAGCTATCATACATGTATATACACATATATATATATATTATTATTATTATCATTATTATCATTATTATTTTTATTTATATATTTTTCCGGGGGGGGTCTTAGGGAGGTTGAGGAACTTAGGGCTTAGGGTTTGGGTTTTGGGGTGTAGGGGGACTATCCCTAAACCCTAAACCCTAAGCCCTAAACCCTACATGCTCAACCCTAAACCCTAAACCCTAAACCCTAAACCCTAAACCTTAAACCCTAAGCCCTAAACCCTAAACCCTAAACCCTAGTTCAGGTTGAGGGTTCGAGTCGCGGTTTCGGCTTTTGGGGTTTAGGGTTCCGCGGCTTGCTAAATGAATGAGGATCAAACAGGTGGGACGGCTTAGACTATGTAAACCCCCTAAACCCCCTAAACCCCCTAACCCCCCTAAACCCCCTAAACCCCCTAAACCCCCCTAAACCCCCTAAACCCCCTAAACCCCCTAAACTCCCTAAACCCCCTAAACCCCCTAAACCCCCTAAACCCCCTAAACCCCCTAAACCCCCTAAACCCCCTAAACCCCCTAAACCCCCTAAACCCCCTAAACCCCCTAAACCCCCTAAACCCCCTAAACCCCCTAAACCCCCCAAACCCTAAACCTGCGTAGTTTCCCACATACAGACAGAACCTTACCACCCTTGCGAACCCTTCGAGACAGATCTGTAGGGTTGATAATAAGGGTCACGAAGGTCTTCATCCCAAGAGGCCGTGATGAATGCCGCCGCCGAGGGACCCAAACATTGAAGCCCCCACAAAGCCCGAAAAAGCCTAATATAGGAGTCGGAATAGTTACTGTTAGTATTCCCTTATGGTCCCTTTATCAGTATACTATGATAACCCCCAAAACCTATTGTAATCATTAAGGCTCCTATATTACGCGTTCAACCCTGAACACTGAACCCGAGGATGACATGCTGGCTGACGCCCTACGATGTGCCTGAGCGTGGCACGCAAGGGTCTCCCAAAATGGGGCTTCTGGGGGTAAGGGAGTGTAGTGTAGAGGAAGGCTCCCTTGTTTTTTTTGGGGAGCGCCTCAGGTTTTGTATATATATATATATATATATATATAAGGGGGGTAGTCGGAGTTTCGCTGGAATCCTTCGTATATCCAACGAAAAGGAGCGAAGGGTACCCTCACCTGGACCCGCGCCCTAAACCCCAAACCCTAAACCCTAACCATACGAATCCTACACCCTAAACCCCAAAAGCTTATAAACCCACCCCCCCGGCCCTAGAACGCAAGAGGGCTTAGCTCGGGGCTGCTTCCAATCGTATTCTCGAGTGTTGGCAGGATGGTCGACAGCGACATTCATGTAGGGTTTAGGGTTTAGGGTTTTGGGTTGGGATGTTCCCCCTTATGCTAGCAGTCCTTAGTAGGGATTATTGTAGGGGGTACTAGAATCCCTACTAAGGACTGCTAGTATAAGGGGGAACATCCCAATCTTTGGGGTTGAGGTTGAGCGATATAAGCCTAACCGAAGGAGCATCATTTTGTGTCAGCTCCATGCTGGAATTGCTGTAGGGTTTAGGGTTTAGGGTTTAGGGTTTAGGGTTTAGGGTTACTCTCCACGTAAGCCCTAAACCTAAAATGAAATCTTAGAGACACCTACGAAGGTCTCGGTCTAGGCAGAACTTAAACCCTGAGGCCTTCAACCTATCCTAAAGCTCTAGATGCCTCCGGGTTTAGGGGTGTTGTTTTCGAGGGTTCATGCGACACCCTCCACCGCTTAAAAAACAGCCCTAAGGCTGTCTAAACCGTGGAGACCGCTAACTTTAAACCCTAATCCCAAAACCCCAAAACCTCTGAACCCAGGCTAGCGGCAACCCCGACTACATGGGAACCTACACGGAAACGTGCGCCAACATGACGGAGGGTCACCTGGCGGCTGTTTGGTTTTTACATCCTTTTTTTGGGGGGGAGGGGGGGGGTTCGTGTTGATTGTGCAGAGGCTTTGTTTGTTCTTGTCATATCCTACCGGTGTGTAGGCTTTTCAAAGCGTTTTTGCAGAAAGGGTTTCTGGTTTCACGTTTTGGGGCATGAGGGTTTGTCATCTTGAGGGCAGTGCTTAGGGTTTAGGTTTCCCGAGGGCGCCTTTCTAGACGCGGCTCATTCGGAGTCTCTTCGACTCTTTGGCGCTGTCGCGCAACTCCTGTCACTGCTTCGCGCACGTTTTTGTAGACAAGTAGGGTAAAGGCGTTTGCGCGTGCAACCCTTAGGCAGGTACATGTAGCCGGACCTTCAACTATCCAGGAATCTTCAAGTAGGCCCAGGCTTCTGCGCAGCCGGAGTCTGAAGCTGACAGCCTCAGACCCACAAGCCTGCAAACCCTCATCCCCCTAGACCCCGAACTTAAGCCCGAAGGCCCGAAAACATCTCCCCCATCCCCTAAAGCCGCTAAGCTCAAACCCCTCAACCCATTTCCCAATCCCAAGCCCCTCAACGAGGCTGCCCTTGCAATCCCACCTGGGAGAAGCCGTGCACCAGCTATGGCTACAAGTTCCTGGATCGAGTTCGGGTTTCGGGTTTCGGGTTTCGGGTTTCGGGTTTCGGGTTTCGGGTTTCGGGTTTCGGTTCCCTAAGCCCTGAACCCTGAACCCCCAAACCCTAAACCCTAAAACCCTAAACCCGAAACCCGAAACCCTAAACCCTAAACCCTAAACCCAAACCTCAAACCCTGACCCTGCTGGGGTGTTCACAGCCTGGGCCTGGCACTCCACTCGCCCAGAGCTCTGAGGGGTTTTTCTCGCGGTGAAGGGCCGTTGGCCCTTTGGAGCCGTAGGTAAAGAGAGTTACTAAAGAGAGTTACTAAAGAGAGTTACTAAAGAGAGTTACTAAAGAGAGTTACAAAAGAGAGTTACAAGAGAGTTACAAAAGAGAGTTACAAGAGAGTTACAAGAGAGTTACAAAAGAGAGTTACAAAAGAGAGTTACAAGTACATGGGGGCTTATAGGACCCTAAGCCTTAAACTCCAGAAACCCCGAACGCCCCTAAAGCCCTCACGCGGGCCTTTGGGGCTTGATCCGGTGGCCTCGAAATTTGCCGCTCTCATCCCAGAACGGAACTGGTTGGGGGGGGGTTAAGGTTTTTTTTTTTTTTTTTTTGGGGGGGGGGGGGGTGGCGGGGGTTAAGGTTTGGGGACCTCATTCCTAGGGGCACCTCACAAAGTTCAATTAGAATTGTCGCTTCGGTTTAGGGTTTAGGGCCTGCTGCATCAACCCTAAACCCGAAACCCTAATTAAGCGTTCTCGGGCTTTCGGGCTTTAGAAGCCCCAGGAAGGAGTACTCCCTACATGGTCGCTTCTCTAAATTATAGTCCCTTTGCAGTTTCCAGTGTGCACATCGTATGGTGACGTAGCATAAGTTCCGAACCCCCCCCCCCCCCAGGGCAACCAGGGCAACGCCCCTCTCCAAAGTAAGGCCCAAACATGAGTTTGGGGTTTAGGGTTTAGGGTTTAGGGTTTAGGCGGTTTTTGTTGGCTTGGTTTGGGGCAGGGTGTAGTTCAGATGGGGACGGTTTAGAATCCCATGACCTGAAACCCTAAACACCACATCCGAAACCCTAAACCCTGAACCCTAAACCCTAAATCCTAAACCCCAAACCCTAAACCCTAAACCCAGCAACAAGCCCAAGAGCCGCGAAGGTTCTGCGAGTCGATCTTCAGGAGTTGCGCCCTGGCACTGCCATAGACACGAGGGTTTAATTTTCCATACTAGGGGTGCCCAGTGTGGGAGTCCCTAGAATAAGGCTTAGAGTCTTTTGAAGGAGTGCTAGGGACCCTGATTTGGGGAAATGCTCGCTTGAAGGTTTCCGTGTTTAGAAGTGTTTAGGGCCAGTCTGTGAAGATGAGAAGCCATGCAGTTCATGGAAAGGGCGAGTTCGAGTACTCCAATTCCTGAAAGCACTGCGCCCGTGCAGGTCCCGTCGACTGTGGAAGTCAAGCAACGTGCTACCACTACATCTCAGGCGCCCCCCCCCCCCCCCCCCATTTTTTCACGGTTGCGGGTTAAGGGTTTAGGGTATGAGGCGTAAGTAGAAGAGGAATTGTGGGGGGAGTATGGGATTTGGGAATTGGGAATAATTAGGGGGCTTTCAGGGATGAAAGGGACCACAGAGAGTATAGGGTTTAGGGTCCAGGGTGCGGGGCTTAGGGGACTTGAGGGGATGCATGTGGATTCTCGGGAAAGGGTTCTAGTGATTAGTGATTGTACGGGTTCTAGGGGATTAGAATTGCATAAGGATTACAGCGATTGGAGGGATTCTAGGGAAGAAGAGGGATCTTCTCGCGAGCCTGCGCCCTGAGACAAGGCAACGAGTCCTGTTCCACGAGCAGCGGCTGCGTCTGCGAAGTGAACGAGATCAGCTGCCCCAATCCGGACCCTGAAGCGTGATTTCGGCGTTAGGGTTTAAGCCCTAAGCCCTAAACCCTAAACCCTGAACCCTAAACCCTATCCTAACCCGGAGGCCCTTCATTTTTGGGATCCTAAACCTAAAATCCTGAACCCCTAAGCCCTCTAGGACTTCGGATTGAGGGTTTAATTACTGACTGTTTGGTTTGATATTCGCTTCGTGCGTTGGGGGTCTGAGAATTAGGGCTTCTGAGAGAAGGGGGAGGGGGAGGGGGGCAGAATTCTTCAATGTACCAAGCCCAGAGCCTTAACCTAAACCCCAGCTAGAGCCAAGGGGAGCCGCCACATGGCCCTTAAAAATTCCCTGAGTGGGCCCCCTTCAGCATGGTCCCTTACCTTTGGGTTTAGGGTTTAGGTTTAGGGTTTAGGGTTTCGGGTTTCGGGTTTAGGGGTTTTCTACAAATGCTCTGAAGTATGGGCCCTTGGGTTAGAAGCCCAAGCTCCATCACATCGCCCCCACAAGCGCCCCGCCCTTTTGACCCTTCTGAGCCTAAACCCTTAAACCCTCAACTCTTAAACCCTTAAACCCTTAAACCCTTAAACCCTTAAACTCTTAAACCCTTAAACTCTTAAACTCTTAAACTCTTAAACTCTTAAACTCTTAAACTCTTAAACTCTTAAACTCTTAAACTCTTAAACTCTTAAACTCTTAAACTCTTAAACTCTTAAACCCTAGACCCTAAACCCTAGACCCTAAACCCTAAACCCTAAACCCTAAACCCTAAACCCAAGCCCCTCCAGCAGAAGGACACGGGCCTGTCCGAGTGCTACCCCAGCGTCGCCCGGCCCCGCTGAGACAGAAACCCTAAGCCCCCTACGAGCCCCAGAGGGTTTAGGGTTTAGGGTTTAGCGTTCAGGGTTTACCTAAACCCTAGTTAGAGCCCCTGGTATAGCAGTTTTGCTGCGCCCTCAGAAGTAGTGGACACCACGTCGTCTTCTCAGCCCTAAACCCTAAACCCTAAACCCTAAACCCCAAACACCAAACACCAAGCCCCAAGCCCTAAACCCTAAACCCTAAACCCTAACCCGATACACCACAACGCCGAGCCTCTAAACCACAGCGCCGTGAAGAGCACACGCGCCGGGCTCCAGGTTCAGGGTTCATATGATAGGGTTGAGGGTTTAGGGTTTAGAGTCTAGAGTTTAGGGTTTGGGGTTCATCGCTCATCGGGTTTAGGGCCAGTGGTTTTCAGTATAGACAGAGTTTAGGGTTCACAGGGTTCGCATGGTCTGGGGCTTAGGGTTGTAGTATAGAGTTTAAGGTTCGTAGGTCTGATAAGGTTTACAGGGTTTGTATGATTTAGAGGTTTGCATGTCTCATAGATTTATAGGGTTTACAGGGTGCATGATTACAGTTGGGAGAATTTACGGTACCCCCCCCCCCAACCTTAAGCCTTTCATATACCCTAAGCCCTACGAAGCCTAAACTCTGTACTCTAAACTCTAAACACTATGAACATGGCCTTCGGCCCGGGCCACGTACAGCCGGTCCTCATGTTGCTTTCCATGGCTGATGTTCCTAAGCAAGCTCGGCGTGCCAGTAGTACTGTTTCGCGCCTCAATCAATGCCTCGAGCCGCACTGTTCCGCGGCACAGGGATGTCTCCCAAACGTGTGCCCAGAGTTTGCCATTGTTAACCTCTACCATGAATCCTAAACCCTAAATACTACAGAGCCTAAAGCCGGCCTCTATCGAGTTTAGGGTGTACAGCCCTCCATTCAGGGGTATGTAGGGTCCCCTCCTGGGCACGCGCTTGTGAGGATTGGTATCCATCCGGCTGCCCCATTAGCTGCTCGCACGATGAGCTGATCTGCTCCAAGGCGGGCTTAGGGTCCCGGTTTACCCCCGAAACCCTAACACTAAACCCTCAACGCTAACCCTAAACCCTAAAGCTTGAGCCCTGAACCCCACCCTCGACCCTCAAAGCCTAAACCCGAAGCCCGATTAAACCCTAGACCCTAAACCCTACACCCTAAACCCTAAACCCTAAACTCTGCACACAGAACCCTGGGGGCAGAATCCGTTGCGGGGTGCTCTCGGGGCCTTTGTGGCCGAGGTCGCCTTCAGCTTCGACGTCATGTTCACTCGGCGGCAGACCTTTGTGTGGGCACCCTAACCCTAAACCCTAAACCCTAAACCCTAAACCCTAAACCCTAAACCCTAACCCTAAAACCCTAAAACCCCTAAACCCCTAAACCTTAAACCCTTAAACCCCTAAACCCTCAAACCCTTAAACCCTTAAACCCCTAAACCCCTAAACCTTAAACCCTTAAACCCCTAAACCCTAGCCCGAAACCCGAAACCCCACAACGTGCAACCTGAACCCTAAACCCAACGCCCTGCACCCAGGCTTGCAACTCCAGGGGTTAGAGCTGAGGGAGCCGTACCCTCAACCCTAAACCCTGAATTTAAGAGCCTCCGGCTCAAGCCGCCGACTCCGCAGGAGAACAAGTTTAAGGTTTGGGGTTTGGTTCCTGTTGGGGGGGGGGGGGGGGGGGGGGGTGTGGGGTGGGGATGGGGGGGGGGGGGGTGGGGCGGGAGGGGGGGTCGGGGGGAGTGGGGGGGGGGGGTAGGGGGGGGGAGAGGTAGGGGGGGGTAGAGGGGGGGGGGGTAGGTGGGGGGGAGTCTGAAAGAGGCTTTTTGCCAAAAGAGCCCCTATGCCCTGTGCGAAAACGCCTATGGTCCATGAGTTTACGCGGTGTGGGTGGCCTGTTCCTCCACGGAAAAGCTGGCGGGGTACCCCCCCCTCCCCCGCCCCCCCCCGCAATTTGGGGAAGCTGAGTCAAATTCGGCGGACCCTAAACTAAACCCTAAACCCTAAACCCTAAACCCTAAACCCTAAACCCTAAACCCTAAAACCTAAACCCTAAACCCTAAACCCTAAACCCTAAACCCTGAACGCGCTGGCAATACGGACGTGCTCCCAGACTGAGGCTTCCTCGAGCAGGTTTTTTTTGTTGTAGGGTTTTTGCTTGGTCCAGGCACTTTCAGAAACCTCTCAGAACCCCTTAGAGCCCTAAAGCCCTAGGGGCCCTTACCATTCAGGGTTCGGGTTTCTGGGTTTAGGGGCCGAGGGGGTTGTTGGTTTAGGGTCTCGGGCACCACGCAAGCAAGCAAAGGCTCTGGGAGGACTACTGCGTGGATGGGGCCTCGTGCCTCGACTTGGACATTGGGGAGGCTTTATGGAGTTAGGGTTTGGGTTTTAGGTCTAGGGTTTAGGGCTTCAGGGGGGGGTCTAAGGGGTAGGTAGGTTCTTGGGGTTTAAGGTTTTGTGGTTCGATTTTTTGTTCCCCTTGACCATGATGAGGGGGATGAGGATGAGGATAAGGATGATGGGGTTTAGAGTTGAAGGCTTAGGAGGCTGGGCCCAAAGCACTGGACTTAGCCGCCCCGAGCCTCACGAACCGGCAGCTGCGATCTTGAGCGACAGGCGAGGGGATGTGGCGACGCGGGCCGTGGGCCGTGGGCCCTCGTGTATGATGGGGCAAGCTCTGGCCATCAGAACATGCTGAATGTGGTGGCCGAAAGCGCAGCCGGAGAGATTCTTGTCCTGAATCTCCCCGATGACAACTCCGACGTCAAAACGTCGAACTACTTGGCGGATGAGCTGATCGCGTCCATGGATCGGATGTGCAATTTTGTGGCGCCGACACTGTCAAGAATCGTCAGGGAGCCTTGAAACCCTCACCTAAACCCTGAACCCTAGACCCTATAAACCCCTCAACCCCTGAAGCCTAAACCCCTAGCCCTAAACCCCCTTAGCCTGAACCCAAGGACCCCGACCCTCGCTTCCCTTGTGTTGCTGCAACCCAGGTCCCCCCCGTGGTACTTGGGGAGTTGAGATGAGGGGAGATGGGGAAATCTGTGGAGGGTTGTGGCTTAAGGGTCTCGGGTTGAGACCGTCTTCTTTTCGGGGGAGGGTCTAGAATTTAGGGTTCAGGGTTCAGTTTTATTTTATTTTTTTTTTGGGGGGGGGGGGGGGGGGGGGCGAGGTCGGTCTAGGATTTGGCGCGGGACATGCGCTTTGCGCCAAGCAAGGAACGGCTGGATGTGCCCCGTGATCTGCGACAACGCGACGGCGCAGAAGCGTGGGGCCCTGGCGTGGGTGGAGGGTTTAAAGATCCTATAAACCCCCGTAAACCCCCATAGACCCCCATAAGCCCCCTCATAAAACCCCCCCATGAACCGAAGGGTTGAGGATTTAGCCGAAGCCGCGCACTTTCGCTGGTATAGTTCTCGCAAGCTTTCGTTTTTCGGGTTTAGGGTTGGCTGTTAGCGCCCTTTCTGGCACGTGTTTAACCAGCTGATGATCTCTACGCCGAAGCCTCTATAGGGCACGGCTGTCGACGAAATCATCCGGAAATTGGCTTAGTATGCAGCTGCGCGGTTGGGTATTTGAATGGGCAAAGCTTCTCCCGTACGCAAAGGGCCCCTTGAGTTTGAGATCATCTCCCATTTGTCTCTGCGCATGCCGGCTCTGTTACCCCCATCGTGTTGGGTTGTTTTCGCGCCACCCTCAGAAGTTGGGTAGGAGCTGCTTCGCAGAGTTCCACAAGGGCGCATAAGCACGCACTTGCTTGTGCCAGGGGATGCCTACGAGCATGTCCTGTTGCGTGTTGCACTCCCGTGTGTGTGCTTTTGTCATCGCACCGCCGTCGGAAGACGGGAGGGTATATGCATGCTTGCATACGCATGCCAAGCGGATCTGTTTGCATCTTGGTCTTGTGTCAGTTCGCGCCGCCCTCAGAAGTAGGAGCTGGCCAGGTCCTCAGCCCTCACAAGTAGGAGCCTGTTAGTGTTGACTCATCCAACAAGGAAGCCTCATTAGTATATGGATGCCGGTCTATCGCGAATGCGCCGTTTTTTCTCTACACGTTTCGTTTGAATATGCAACAGTTTTTTTGTCAACACGTCAAGATCAGCCCTTTCTCAGCTGGGATGCCATTATCTGGGCAGGCGCCGTGTATATGCGGCTGCAAAACCAGTGTTCAGGGTTTAGGGTTCAGGGTTTACGGTTTGCCGTGGAAAGCCCCTGAGCCCTCAAGCCAAGAGCTAGATCCCCCTTTGCCCGGTTTAGGCAAATTTCGAGGTTGAGCCAGCCATGTAAGTGCCACAGCCTCAGCCACCCTGGAGTTGAGGGTTTACAGTAGGGCTTAGGGCTTTTTAGGGTTTGGAGTCTGTGACGAACGAACCCAATGGATCTCGTTGCAATGCGCGAGTTGCCATTGCACGCGATCCTAACATTCCATGACCCTTAGGCGCAACACCCTAAATGCTCAAACCTACATAGGGTAGCTCTCTAAATGAGGTGCCCCTTTCGGGGTCCCCCCGCATAGAATACAGCGCCCTTCCAATAAGGACCAGCCCCCCCCTCCCCAACACATGATTTCGAGAACTGAAACCCAAGCCCTAAACCCTAAACCCTGATTCCTGAACCCTAAACCCTAGCAGTGGTGCTGGGAGGTGCGGCACGCCCGGGACGTGGGACGAGCACTGCGTGTCCAAGGCAGGGCCGTAGCTACCATCACGAGTCACAAGGTTTAGTGGTTTAGGGTTTAGGGTTTAGGGTTAAGGGTTTAGGGTTTAGGGTTTAGGGTTTAGAGTTTAGGGTTTAGGGTTTAGGGTTTAGGGTTTAGGGTTGAGGGCTTCAGCTGGGTAGCCCAGGGTACCCTGTTACCGTTTTTTTGGTTCTGGGTTCCCTTGCAAAGCAACCAACCCCAAATCGGGTGCCCTTCTTATAATATGACCCTAAACCCTAAACCCTAAACCCTAAACCCTAAATTTAAAATCCCTGACCCTGCAACCTACGCCCCAAGCCCACGACTCACAACTCGCAACCCCAAACCCGAAAGCTCGAACCCAAGTGCGCAGACGCTAAGCACCAAGCCCGAAACCCTAGCCCTCAACCTTAAACCCTAAACTCACCCCAAACCCTAAACCCGAAACCCAGAACCGGCCCGCAGAACTCGACGTGCCCAGTGAGTTGCTCAGAGCAGTACTGCTGGGTCGTCGCCCGGTCGGAGTTTGGGGTTTAGGATTGGCGTGTTTTTTGGCTATTTGGGGGTATTTGGGGTGTTTGGGGGAAAGGGCACAGAATTCGAGGTCCCGCCCCCCCGCAATCTGTGGCAAAACAAACAGCTAAACCCTAAACCCCTAAACCCCTAAACCCTTAAACCCTTAAAATCTTGAACTCTTAAACCCTTGGCCTTAAACCCTTAAACCCTTAAACCCTTAAACCCTTAAACCCTTAAACCCTTAAACCCTTAAACCCTTAAACCCTGAAACCATTAAACCCGTAAACCCTCAAACCCTTAGCGCTTCGGGAAGTCCATGGGACTGCTTGCACAGGCCTCCCCAAGTGGGAAGGGCGCCTGATCCCTACTTGGAGGTTCATGGTACTTCTTAACCAAGTATAACTGCACTTAATGATAACCCAAACGCTAGCCATATTCAGGCACTTATATACGGGGCTTATCAGGGGTTATATGTACAGTTATAGTTGGTTAGGAAGTACCATGAACTTAAGCCCTAAACCCTAAGCCCTAAGCCCTAAACCCTAAACCCTAAACCCTAAACCCTAAACCCTAAACCCTAAACCCTAAACCTCTCTTTCATATATAATTTAAATGTTAAGGAGTTACTGGGCAAGGTCGCCGTTTTACTGGGCAAGGTCGCCGTTTTACTGGGCAAGGTCGATTTTTTGACCAAATCGATAAAACGGCGACCTTGCCCAGTAAAACGGCGACCTTGCCCAGTAAAACGGCGACCTTGCCCAGTAAAACGGCCGTTTTACTGGGCAAGGTCGCCGTTTTACTGGGCAAGGTCGATTTTGTGACCGAAGGTCGCCGTTTTACTGGGCAAGGTCACCGTTTTACTGGGCAAGGTCGATTTTGGTCAAAAAATCGACCTTGCCCAGTAAAACGGCGACCTTGCCCAGTAAAACGGCGACCTTGCCCAGTAAAACGGCCGTTTTACTGGGCAAGGTCGCCGTTTTACTGGGCAAGGTCACCTTTTACTGGGCAAGGTCGATTTTGTGACCCGCCGTTTTACTGGGCAAGGTCGCCATTTTACTGGGCAAGGTCAATTTTTTGACCGAATGGACCCTGCCCACCTGAACCCCACCCCCACCCCCCCCCCCCACCCCCCACCCACCCCCCCCCCCCCCCACCCCCCCCCCCCCCCCAACCCCCCCCCACAACCCCACCCCCCCCCCCCCCCCCAACCCCCCCCCCCCCCCCCCCCCCCCCCCACCCCCCCCCCCCACCCCCCCCCACCCCCCCCCACCCCCCCCCTCCCCCCCCACCCCCCCCCCCCCCCCCCCGAGGTGAGTGACCTCAGATCGGCCAGGGTCCCTATTAAAAATTGCGATTTTTTGCTACTGAAATCGACGGTGGCCTCTCGTTTTCCGGATTTTCGACGAAAACCGAGCCTTCATTGAGAGGGGCTTTTAAACCGTAGGGTTTAGGGCCCCCGCCACCCCCCCCCCCTGGGTGACCCCAGGATCGGCCCGTCGTAACGCCTCACCCCTTCCAAGCACATCACCCCCCGATAAGCAAGACCTGGAATCATGTATTTTCACTCGTAACGTCTCATCCCTTCCAAGCACATCATCCAAGCACATCACCCCCCGATAAGCAAGACCTGGAATCATGCACTTTCACTCGTAACATCTCACCCCTTCCAAGCATGATTCCAGGTCTTGCTTATCGGGGGGTGATGTGCTTGGAAGGGGTGAGGCGGGAAAATGCATGATTCCAGGTCTTGCTTATCGGGGGGTGATGTGCTTGGAAGGGGTGAAACGTTACGAGTGACAGTGAAAATGCATGATTCCAGGTCTTGGTTATCGGGGGGCGATGTGCTTGGAAGGGGTGAGACGTTACGGCATGGGTGCGTCGGACTAGAAATTAAGAAAACTTTTTATTTTCTTAATGTTATGGGATTCTTTGGGCGGGTGGGTTTTTTTCCGTTGCCTACACACACTGCTGGCCTAGTAAATGCTCGAACTTGAGATGCTGAACCCTAAACCCTAAACCCTAAACCCTAAACCCTAAACCCTAAACCCTAAACCCTAAACCCTAAACCCTAAACCCTAAACCCTAAACCCTAAACCCTAAACCCTAAACCCTAAACCCTAAACCCTAAACCCTAAACCCTAAACCCTAAACCCTAAACCCTAAACCCTAAACCCTAAACCCTAAACCCTAAACCCTAAACCCTAAACCCTAAACCCTAAACCCTAGACCCTAAACCCTAAACCCTAAACCTCTGGAATGGGTTCGGTATCAGCCCTAAAGCCTAACCACAAGGACAACTACGACTCCACCGGCATGTGGATTGACAGCTCAGAGACCTGCGCCTTGGCTACAAGCCGCAGGAAGGCTCCCCAAACCCAAAACCAAAGACCCTAGACCCTAAACCCTAAACCCTAAACCCTAAACCCTAAACCTTAACCCCTAACCCCTAAACCCTAAACCCTAAACCCTAAACCCTAAACCCCTAGCCCTAAACCCTGAACCCCTAGCCCTAAACCCTAAACCCCAAACCCTAAACCCTAAACTACCTGAACCCCTGAACCCTTTTCCCCCCTAAGATCTCGAAGCCCTTCAACTCGCGAAGGCGCCACCTGGAATGAGACCTGCCCCTGCGGAAACAACGCCGTGCGCTGTACGGATCCCTTCTGGGGCCCCCTGGCTCCGGAGGGGCGTTTCGGGTTCAGGGTTTAGGGTTTAGGGTTTAGGGTTTAGGGTTTAGGGTTTAGGGTTTAGGGTTTAGGGGGCTTAGGGAGGTCAGGGTTCCCGGCTTAGGAGGTCAGGGTTTCAGGGCTTCAGGCCTGAAGGAGACTGGGGTTTGGCCTTACAAGACCTGCAAAGCGTGGCCTCAGGTATCGGGTGGCCTGAGGGTTAGGGTTTAGGGTTTAGGGTTTAGGGTTTAGGGTTTAGGGTTTAGGGTTTAGGGTTTAGGGTTTAGGGTTTAGGGTTTAGGGTTTAGGGTTTAGGGTTTAGGGTTTAGGGTTTAGGGTTTATTGTTTAGGGTTTAGGGTTTAGGGTTTAGGGTTTATTGTTTAGGGTTTAGGGTTTAGGGAGGGGTGCGGGGACCGAATTGAAACCATAGGCGTCTTCACGCAAAGCC